CCCCAAAACCCCAAAACCCCAAAACCCCAAAACCCCAAAACCCCAAAACCCCGTGTATAACTACGTGATTGAAGAATACAGAACCAGGATAGAATAAGTTCTCCAAATTTTAGAAAGATAAAGGGAAAGAAAAGGCGATGCGTAGTCTCCAAAATTGCCAAGCTAAAAATTAGCCTAATGGAGGACCCCCAATACGGCTCAAGAGAGAAAGCTAAGTGAGAAGAAATATTTTGGGATGGGAAGGTTTATTATAATTAGTATTCAGATGGATCATAGACGGCTTGGGCGTTCTGTTGGTTAATACCACAAACTCCATAGTCCTCACCTCTTCTGATTCTGACATATCCGTCTTCTCCCCAGCCGGCTCCCCAGGAGTTCCTGACGATCCAAGCATCTTCATCAGCGTCGTATCCGACGAGAGTGACTCCGTGGTCGAGGTCGGTTCCGCAACCCTTTCCTTCAATGACTCCACCTCTGTAAGATCTGAAGTCGAAGTTTTCAGCTCTAATAGAGACAGACACAACATTGTGGGACAAGGCTTCATAGAGGCATTCATGAGTGACATCAACTCTGTATCCAGCAGTGAGGACATCAAATTCGCTATCAATAGAGTTTTCCTTACATTTTCCATCTCTGGCAGTGTATGGGTAATCTTCTTCTCTGACTGGGGAGTGTCTCATCCAGTGGATGAATCCATTGGTCATAAGACCTCCTTCACATCCGTGAGAGAATCTATCACAGTCGACGATATGTTGTTCAGAGAACTTGACAAATTCTCCAGTCTCCTTAGCATAAGCAGCTTCTAATCCAGCAACAGCTGAGAAGGCCCAGCAGGATCCGCAGCTACCTTGGTTGACGACTGGACCAACTCTGTTGGTTTCTCTGTAATCAATGCTCTTTCTTGGGAGCTTCTTGCAGTTGGTTGGGAGCATACCAATCTTGTCGCTCTCCTGGTTGGAGGAGGATCCTCTAAGTCCAAGAAGTTTCTTGTACTCTTCGTCAGTCCAGTCAGTGAACTCGTTGGTTCCCAAAGTCCAGGATAATCCTTTAGCATTGTGCTCGTTGATCTTCTTAAGATTCTCCTCGAAAATGCTCTTTCTGAAGGAGTACTCATCTTCATTCTGGTAGTTCTTGTTGAACTGAGTGGTGAATTGAGTAAAGTGGAAGTCAAGCTCATCTGTAGAGGTGCTTGAGAAGCTGAAATAAGCGGTAGTCAATAATCCTGCAACAATCAGGATAGGTAAGACCTTCATTGAATTTAAGTAATATTAATTATGCCAATCCAATAATTTTCTCTTTTTAAGGGGTTTTGGGGTTTTGGGGTTTTGGGGTTTTGGGGTTTTGGGG